TATAGTGTTACAAAATGTTTTTTGAAAAAAAAAATGAATTGAATTTAAAATAAAGAAAACAAAAGAATTGAAAAAAGAAATATAATTATGTATTGTATTTTAGTTACAACATCCCAATATGTTGCAAGGTGGGCGCCATGTTTAATTTAGATTGAAAATTATTGTTTTGCTACGTTAACAATGGGTTAACATCTAATTACTTGTAAATGATTAACATCGTTGAAATCCGTCAATGTCAACAGATTTCAACGAGTGGCGAATGGCGCCAACGCCGACGTACTTCATGTTGGGATCGTTGTTTTGTTTTTAATCTCTCTCTTCTTCTATCGCGTCGATACGAATGAAGGCTCTCCCCGCTATTGTGCAAAAAGGTAATATTGTTTACCCAAAATCCTTCTTATTTATTATTAATAAAGCCTGGCTTTTGCCTTTATTTTATACATAAACTAACCCCACTATCGTGTTTTTATTTATTTTATTTTGTTACATTGGTTTGCTTTGCAATTCCCCCTTTCCCCGCATTGGCGCAAACAGAAGGCATGGAATGGTTTTGTCTTAGTATGCAAAATTTTTCTCGAAAACGAAAAATGTGAAAATTATGAACATATAGTGAACAACATGCTGTCTGCCTACAATGAAATGGGTTGCAAAATGTCTATCAAAATTTAACTATCTACATTCTAAGTTGGGCAGCTTTCCAATAAGTTCAGGACAGATAAGTGATGAACCAGGCGAAAGATTCCCCCAGGAAACATCTAAAGTTGAACAAAGATACCTAAGAAAACATAAAATCAGTGTGCTTTCTGACAACTGTTGTAGTTGTGTCGCGTTGACGCCAGGACACTTCCTTATTGGGGCCCTTTGTTAGCACCGCCTGAACCTCTCATCACAGAGCAACCATTAAGCTTAGTTAGTCGGTTTAGAAAAGTTCAGGCCCTCGCCCACAAGTTTAGTTTGAGGTGGAAAGAGGAATATTTGAAACCTTCACACATGAGGTATAAATGGAAATTTCCAGAGCGCGGGATAGCCATAGACGATCTAGTTGTTGTTCGTCATGACCAGCTTCCGCCAACGTCGTGGAAATTAGGCCGTGTCGTAAATGTTCATCCGGGAACTGACGGTCAAGTTCGAATCGCGGACGTCCGAGCCGAGAACGGCGTTATAAGACGGCCCATCGCCAAGTTGGTCGTTCTGGCCGACGACCCTTTGATAAGTAATTAAATAGTTCTCTTCTCGTTATCTAGTATGTCGATGAAAGTATATTCGGCAGATGAACTTTTGAACGCTGATGACTGTATTGCTACCCCGGAATGTTGCCCCACGGGCACCACATATTCGTCGGCTGCCGTTGAAGCTACTCTTGTGGATCCCATTGCAGCTGTACAAATATCCGCCGCTACTGTCGAATTGATGCAAACCGAGTCCGAATCCATATCTGTGGATTCATCTGCGGCTCCGGTCCCTGCCGATAACCCCCAAATTGGAAAATCGCGAACCGAGTCCGGATCTTCGGGTCCATCTGCGGCTCCGGTTGCCACTCCTCAGTCGTTGGAGGAGTAGGACAAATCTAGTAGGTCCGAATCCTCTCGGAATTCATATGCGGCCTCCCATAAATGTCGCCTTTGTGACCGCTTGCACCCTTTGGATAGATGTAGCGACTTCCGCGTCATGAATATTGACATGCGTCGTAGAGTTGTTGTTAAATTTAATGATTGCATACGGTGTTTAGCGAAATCCCACCAAGCCAGGGACTGTAAAAGAAAGTGTGCCGTATGCAACGAAGATCACCACACTCTTCTTCACGCTGATTCGAAGACCGTGGTTACACCCACAAGTAATAGTCGGCGTCTTCCGCATACGGATTATAGGCACCGTTCGCGTCATAGTCCATACTATCGTCCGACTGAAAATGCTTCCGCCTCGCAGGTAGGACTGGCCGGCTTGTTGTCCCTCCAGTCTGGTATCTGCCTTTCCCCGACTTTGTTAGTCAACGTTGATGTTTTTAGCCGTCCCTCTATCGTGAGGGCGGTATTGGACCAATGTAGGCAGAGTCTGATATGCTCCTCTCTGGTGCATAGTCTTCGTATCCCTACTTCTAGAATCGATGGTAGCCATATATGTAGGCTTAATCTCACCTCGATATACGACCAGGGTCAGTCCTTATCAATTGTTGCAGTGGTGACCCATCTGGACCATGCGCGTACGCCTACAGCGGCAATCCCAGAGAGCATAAAAGACTCCTTTCTTGGTCTTCCTTTGGCAGATCCTGATTTTAATAGGCCTGGTCGGGTGGCCCTTGTACTCGGGCCGGAAGTCTATGCCAGGGTGGTAACATATCGGGTGCATACGACGCCAGGGTTACCGATAGCCCACTACACCATATTTGGGTGGGTATTGTCGGGCATATGTAACATATAGTGTTACAAAATGTTTTTTGAAAAAAAAATGAATTGAATTTAAAATAAAGAAAACAAAAGAATTGAAAAAAGAAATATAATTATGTGTTGTATTTTAGTTACAACATCCCAATATGTTGCAAGGTGGGCGCCATGTTTAATTTAGATTGAAAATTATTGTTTTGCTACGTTAACAATGGGTTAACATCTAATTACTTGTAAATGATTAACATCGTTGAAATCTGTCAATGTAACAGATTTCAACGAGTGGCGAATGGCGCCAACGCCGACGTACTTCATGTTGGGATCGTTGTTTTGTTTTTAATCTCTCTCTTCTTCTATCGCGTCGATACGAATGAAGGCTCTCCCCGCTATTGTGCAAAAAGGTAATATTGTTTACCCAAATCCTTCTTATTTATTATTAATAAAGCCTGGCTTTTGCCTTTATTTTATACTTAAACTAACCCCACTATCGTATTTTTATTTATTTTATTTTGTTACATTGGTTTGCTTTGCAATTCCCCCTTTCCCCGCATTGGCGCAAACAGAAGGCATGGAATGGTTTTGTCTTAGTATGCAAAATTTTTTCTCGAAAACGAAAAATGTGAAAATTATGAACATATAGTGAACAACATGCTGTCTCAATGAAATGGGTTGCAAAATGTCTATCAAAATTTAACTATCTACATTCTAATTTGGGCAGCTTTCCAATAAGTTCAGGACAGATAAGTGATGAACCAGGCGAAAGATTCCGCCAGGAAACATCTAAAGTTGAACAAAGATACCTAGGAAAACATAAAATCAGTGTGCTTTCTGACAACTGTTGTAGTTGTAGAAGTTTATTTTTTTAAATAAAGAAAAAAAAAAGTTAAAATGCAAAAGCTTATAATTTTTTTTTTAGAAAAAATAAATAATATTACTGATTGGTATCAACTTTGCAGTGTTTCCTGTTTTTGAGTGGGGGTTTTCTCACTTAAATCACTGTAACTTTGCTACTTGTTAAAAATCTTTGATTTATTTGAAGGGAAACACTGGACCCTTCCAAAGAAATCTCGGATTTTTTTATTTACCATTATAAAATTGTTATCAATAAAGTTACCTAGAAAAACCAAAGGCATCTATCTACTGTTAAAAATCACACAAGCTGCTAAGCGTCGTCTCGTATTAGTTTGTTTTAACTATAAATCTTTACATTAAAGCAAAATTTCGCATTTCAGCTCAGCACATTAAAATAATAGTAATAAAGACCAACATTTGTATTAATTTCTTTTTTAGAGTTAAGTATTAAGAATATTTATGACATGAAAATATTTTATATGAAATCAATAAACAACAAATTGTTGTTACATTAAATGAAAAATTGAAAAATAATATTGTTAAATATATATTAATAATTAGTTGATTTAATATTACACCTCTTAAACATAAAAAAATCTTGTTATGTTTTTTCTATAAATCTAAAAGTTTTGTTTCCGCTGCCAGAGGTTTAATTTCCACTGCAAAAGGTTTCATTCCAACTGCAAAAGGCTTCATTTAATTTGATGCTATATGTTCCCGTTTTGTTACGGCACAATATGGTAAAAGGTTTCATTCCAACTGCAAAAGGCTGCATTTAATTCGATGCTATATGTTCCCGTTTTGTTACGGCACAATATGGTTCCGCTTATAAATAAAAAATTGCACAAGAGCTAAACTCCAGTGCCTTTTAACGAATCATAACATTGTGTATATGATAAAGCGAACCATTCAACAGCCTACATAACAAGACTGCTCAGACCTGCTCATTCTAATTTTATTTGTTTACATTTTTTTAGTGTTAAGTTCTAAGAATATTTAATATGGAAATATTTTATATGAAATTAATAAGGAACAATTTCTTATAATGCCATGTTTACGTTAAAACTTTTTGTAGGGTTAACCTTCTTTGGGAGGATTTATTTGAAGTAAAAGTAATGGATATGACAATTAAAATCCAAATCCAGTGGGTTAACCCTCATATATATAAACGTACTATAACAATAATTTCAAAAGTAAACATAGATATGATCTAAATGGTCAAATTACCGAATATTGGGAGGTAATGTTATATGGGGCTATGCGAAAATGTGGACATGGTCCATTTTAACTTAAAACAGAATGTTTTTCATAGTCCCGACTTCTAGAGTGTTTTCAAATCAAATTGATTTTGTTGTCATTATTTTCATTCTCAATTGATATTTAGCATTGTAGCACAAATGGCTCTACACAGGTCAATATTAGGTTATAGTCCTTATATTGCGGTACAAGCTAAAATGAAGAATTTTTAAGTTATTAAAATATTTCACAATGGGTTTTTTCGTCTGGCCTAAATTAACGCATATTAACATTATCTTATTCAACGTTCGGCTTAAATGTCACCATCTCCTTTCAGTTATTGTTTCAGTGGTAAGACAATGACACACGAATTCACTTTTCTTTGCTCGTTCATTAATAAACGACTAAATTAGCATATGATCTTCAAGATACATATATTTTGTGACAATTGCATATAGCATTTTTACATAAATATTAAAATACTCTTAAGTATGAATGTAATACGTATAATTTTTTTTATATATATTTCAGTGTGGACATAAGGGAAGGTCTACGAAAATCAATTAAAAGATGGTCGGACGAAAATGTGCTCGGAGATAGAGCATATTTTATTATTGACAAGGAGCCTGGTATGCTGTGCATTCAGAACACGAAGTATTCGGATTCTGGTACATATAGGTGCCGAGTTGATTTTGTAAAATCTCAGACACGAAATAGCAAAGTGATACTAACAATCGTGGGTAAGTTAAATCTGTTTGCAATATGTTAACTTAAGTGAATGCTAATATATATGTACTGAATGAAAAAAGTATATATATATATATATATATATATATATATATATATATATATATATATATATATATATATATATATATATATATATATATATATATATATATATACAGTGAGTGTTTTTGTAAAATAACGGTCCTTTAAATATTGAAATACAGGTTTAAATAGAAATGAAAGTAAATTTGACATTTTTTGTAGTGTTTTCGTTGAGCTGAGAACAGAAAAGAAAAATTCAAATAGCTATGGACAGCAAAAACAAACAAATGTCTATGGAAACTAAAAAAAATATCATTAACTTGAAAAAAGATGGTAAAAGTTTAGCCGAAATCGCGAAAGTTGTTAAAAGACCTGGCTCGTCTGTTCAATATGTTATTCAACACTTCGAAAAAACGAAAACAATTGCAAATAAACCAAGATATGGTCGCCCAAGGAAGATTGACCAACGTTTGGAGAAGAGAATAGTACGAACAGTGAAAAAAAATCCTAAAGTTAGTGCATGTGTTATTGCTGGAAATCTAAAATCTTCTGATGGAGTAACTGTTGACCCACAAACGGTCAGAAATTGTCTTCACAGAAATGGTTATCATGGTCGAGTGAGTCGCAGGAAGCCGTATGTAAAAAAGCGAATATGGAAAAGAGATTGGCGTACGCTTTGGACCTCAATGATAAGGACTAAACGTTTTGGGATCAAGTTATTTTTAGCGATGAAAGTAAATTTAATATTTTTGGATCAGATGGATAATAAAGGTGGACCAACAAAATACTAAAATAACATTAACATCAACAAACACTTAATAAGCCTAAATTTTCAATAACCAAAATTTGCTGTACGGACACTTTTTTGGCAGCTGTTTTATGTTCTTTCCCTTAAATTAAATGTTTTTTTTTTTTCTTTTATAAGAAATTTGTTTATATTTTTTTATGTAGTTAATGACAAGGAAATGTACGCTTAAAACAAAATATAATTTGTTAACGGAAAGCTTTTATATATTGGGTTATAAATTCTAATATTCTTCAACTACTAGTCGTTGTATTTTTTTTTATTTTTTTTTTTTATTCTATTGAATGAAAACAAAAAATGTCAGAAATAGGATCAAATTTAAGAATAAGTTGAGATTAGTTCGAATTAGCTTATACGCTAAATTTCGTCGTTGGTGCCCAAATATATATTGGAATCGGACATACATATCGCGGTGGGTGCATTAAATATGTAAAATCGGTGAAAATATATATGGGTGCTATATCCAAAATTGAACAAAGTCAAACGCCATAATTTTTATTTTTTTTTAATTTGATTGAATAAAAGCAAAAAATGTCGGAAATAGTATAAAGTTATAGGATTGTTCGATTTGGTCACCTTTGGCACGAATTGCAGCCTTCAAACGGTCAAGAAAAATGTCACACGCTGCCCGAATGCTCTGCGGTTTTGGCCCATTCCCTGCGAAGCGCTTGCTTGAGCTTGCGACCGTGGGATCAGAATAATATTCTGGGTACGCAAACATTTTGGCCGCAGACCTTGGACATTCCAACAGATCTCAGCATATATGATAAGATCTACTAGTTTTTAGTTATAATTCTAAATCAAAATATATGGTGGTAAAATTTAATTTGACTCGATTTCCATCAAACTTTACATTGTCATTGTTACAGATGTCATTGTCAATTAACTTGAAGAAGGCTTAAAAATAACATGAATCGTATATATATTGAAGCTAAAGCTGTATCTGAAGGGATTTCCACCAAATTTGTCGTATGTGCTTCCAGGCTAAGCTCGGTTGAATGACCATCCATCTAAATTGGTCTAATTTTACAAATTTTCTGCCTTTGGGAGCCATATTCAAATCTGAACCGGTCGTGACAAATTTGGTGGATTCATCTAATATATGGTACTACATATCATGTTACTATCAGACACACAAAGACATAATACCCTCTACTACAATGTGGTGTAGGGTGTTGATTTTTCCTTTTGAATTGAAACACAACCGTTTTCTTAGAGATCATTTATTGAACTAACAACTCATTTTTAAATAGAAGTAGCACATAGATAAAAGAAATATGAATGAGTGAAAAAAGGAAGATGCATTTGGGTTGTCATAATTTAAAGAATAAACCAAGGTTACAATAACTACTGTAACATATCCCGGCTTAACCCAAGAGCATTTACAAAAACAAATATTACATTTACATTATCAAATTCAAAAGTTTACTAGCTATTATATGTCTTTGTTTAAAACTTTAGTAAATACATCAGCCGCATTTTCTTCACTTGGTATATAATCCACATCAGTACATCCTTCATTGTATTTGTCTCTAATGAAATATTATTTGTTGTCAATATGTTTGCTACGTTTATGAACCGTGGGATCTTTCACCATAAAATTTTACATATGAGTCGGATTGTCAATGTACTCCAAAAAGCCCATCTCTCCTAACAATCTTCTCACAAACGTAACCTCGTTTGTACCTTGATAAAGCGCTACATATTCCGCTTCCATGGAACTCAGTGCCACAGCAGACTGTTTCTGAGATTCCCATGCAACCATTCATAAAGATAACAAAACCAGAGTAAGAATTTTTTTCACATTAATCACAACCGCAGTCGGCATCGGTAAAACAAGAAAAAACTTATCCGCTTTTGCTGTAGGTTATCTTACCGCTGGGATGCTTATTCAAATAGCGCAATACATGTTTCGCTGCCTTCAAATGTTCTTCATGAGGGTGAGAATTGAACTGCGACAGTCATCACTCATGTGATGTCTGGCCTTGATATTACAGCCAAATATATTAAACAGCCAATTAAGCGCTGGTATTCTTTATGCTTCAGTTCACAGTTCTCGCATTTGCATTTGTTTAAAATTGTGCCACGTGTCCATGGTGTCGAAGCTGGCTTCAAATTATCCATCCCCCAACTCTTCAGCAATTCTCTTATGTATTTTTCTTGATGAATGCTTATTGCTCCTCTAGCACCACCCCTTTCGATTTCCATCCCCAAATAGAAAGAAATTGGACCACGATCATCTGCATCCACATGTTCATTTAGTTGTTTAACTATTTTTTCATTTCACCGTCGGTTGGATATGCGATGATCATATCATCAACGTAAAGTGCAATGATGCTTATACTGCCCTCATTTCTCCGAAAATATACACAATTATCAGTTTGTCATCTTTGGAATTCCATCTCCAACAGAATTTATGTCACCTTCTTGTTCCATTCCATTACAATGGTACACTTACAAAAAATTCATCCGTTAAATTAACTATTTCTCTCTTTTCAGCATTATACCCCTTAGTCAAGCTTTCATATCCAACAAATTTCATTTTCCTTCCTTTTGGTTTTAATTTACTACCAATACCTTGTTTTTGTAGAACAACAACATCACACCCAAATGTTTTAAAATGTGCCACAGAAGGTTTCCTCGTAAACCATTTCTCATATGGCGTAATTTCACCAAGCACACTTTTTGGACACCTATTTCTGATGTACGGCGCTATATTAATAGCTTCTGCCCACAAATTCTGCGGAAGACCCGATTCATGCAACATACAACGTGCCACTTCTACTAGGGTTCTATTTAATCTCTCCGCGATACCAATCTGTTGTGGAGTGTGACTTACCATTGTCTGATGCAATGTGCCTTTCTTATGAAAATATTCCAAAAATTTCGAATTGACATATTCTTTTCCATTGTCACTTCTAACTTGCTTTAATTTATGATCTGTTTCTTTTTTAGCCATAGTAACAAAATTTTCAAACGTATCATACGCATCAGACTTGTTCTTCATAAAATATGTAAATATGTACCTCGAGTAATCATCAATAATTGGCATAAGGTACAGCGCTCCACCTTGCGATTTAATTTGAAATGGTCCACATGAATCTGTATGTACCAATTCTAGAAGTGCTTTTGAATGTATTTTTGAATATGAGTGAATTGGTTTCGCAGTTATTTTGCCAACAGCACAAGTTACGCATTCAAATTCCTTAGGCAATTTTACATTCAACCCTCTTACCATTTGTTTTTCACTCAACATACTCAAACCTTTGCCGTTTAAATGTCCGAAGCGAGAATGCCATTTCTTAAAATCATTTTTTGCAACAACACTATTTACGCACTCACTCTTCTTTTGCAATAGCTCCGCAAAAAATATTCCATTCTCCTTTGCTTAAATGGTACTGCATACAATATTTCCTTGTTGGTTTTGCTTATAATGACAGCACAAAATTTAATGTATGACCAGCTTCGATGAATTTGCTAATAGACAAAAAATTTGAGTGCAAAAAGGGAACAAACAAAACGTTGACGAGAGTAATATTCATAAGTTTTGTTTTAAGCAATATCGTTCCTTTCCCTTCCGCATACACAGTGTCTCCCGAAGCCAAAACTATTCTCTGTCGCTCATTCTCTATTGAAGTAAATAGTTCTCGGCTACAACACATATGCGAGGACGCACCGCTTATATTTCTGCTGACTGCACCAAACGCCTCATCATTGTTGTTTTTGCATTGGAAACGAATGTGACCGATTTGTCCACACTTGTAACATTTTATGTGTTTGCGTTTTTCCTCCCCTCTGTCTTTCTCAAAACGGTTATTTTTTCCATGATTCCATGTTGGATTTCTTCTGTGGTTTATATCTTAGATGAACAAAACAGTACGTTTGCGGTGGTCTCAGTCGTTGATTAGACTTCAACGAATGTAGACATGCGTGGGGGATGTACGCATTGTTGCTCCGTTAACATTAAGAAAACAAATTATAGATAGCTTTTGTAGAAAAATATAAATATATGGAGTTTATATTTAAAGTTTTTTGATAATTTTGCTAACATAAAAATAAAATTCTTGCTACAAAACGTCCAAAACGAGAAGGGAGATATTTTGTACGTGCTTTTTGGTTTCTCTCACACACACAAGCGCAATGTTCATTTTGTGCATCATAGGT